GAAAAGGTCTATTCTTGTCCAAGTCACAGTTTTCGGTCGCCCACCAGACCCACCAGAGAGTTATCTCTGCATTCCAAATCCTGTGAAACGAACCGCACGAAAAGACAGACATAACTGTGTACTGGTTGGCAGCATAACACTAACTGTGTTGGCAGGTTACCACGAAATTCTTTAAAAAAAGAAGTATAATTGTTTGTGACTATAATCTCCGGAAGTCCTCAACTATGGGTTAACACGCGAGACTAATTTGCTGCTAACTTGTCAGTAACACACAGTTAGCTCAGCATTAGCGCAACGAAAAAGAAATCTCATGGAATTCTAACTATAATCTTTTCGTGGGGAGTAATATTTTGATGTTCTATAAAGCCTGAGTTCTCTTCCCATTCCCGCCGCCAAGAAAGAACTTTGAGATCTCACGGTGCCTCTCACGGTGGCTTGCGAATTTTTTTGATGCGGAGATCCGTGAAGCGCGTCGAAGAGTCTATGAACTGAAAGTCTAGGTATGATGCTGAGTAAATTTCTTGAATAGAGAAAGTGAAAAAGTCTGCTTCTTTTGGATTCAGCGTTAGGTTAAGAATTTTTAAAAATGTTTTTGATCTATTTTGTGATGTTTCACAAAAAGGCCTTTGTCTCTAAAATTAAAAGTAACAGCAAACTTGAAATATCGTGACCAAGTTTCCGCCCTACGCTCCCTTAGTAGGTCTGTGTCACACTATTCAAAATGGAGACTCTGCTGGCAACCTCGACAGAATGAGTCCGTCTTTGTTTTGAAGGCGAACATAGTGGCAATAATTGCCATGGTTTTTAATGTTAGATTCTTGAGAAAACTTCGATCTAGTGAAGGGATCAATCTCGAAGAATTTACAGACCTCTCTCAAGGGAAGAACCTTAACCACAAACCTTCCTCCCCATCTTTGATCCATTTGTACTTTTTTCGAATGACAAGCATGCTTGGTATGTCACGCTAACAAGATAAAAGGTAAAATTCACATCGGTTTTTTTATTTTTCATGACTCCTTGGAATACTTCAGGTGCCTGAAATTTACATTATCTAAAAAGCTACTAAGCTGATTAAAAATAGTTTTTTCCTTGTTATTGCAAAGAATTGCGAAGAAAAACTAACTGAAAAGGACGAATTGTCAACCGCTATTGTGTTCATACACTCAGTACAATCAGTGTTTCCCGAGGCACTGGATAATTTTATGTATAAGTGGCCATACTAATTACATTAGTGATTTCAACATATCGACGCCTCCAGGAGATGTCGTAATTAGTAACTGATGTAAATAGTTGATATGGAAAGCTTTTCTTAAATGCCCTTTTATGCTGCAGGCCAACACTCGACAAAGAATTTTTTACGGCACTTAAAGGCTGGCGATTAGAACTGCAGAGGGGTTTCCTAAGATACAAGCTGAGCCGATACTTTAAAAACAAAGGTAAAATTTAACATAGTTGGTGAGTTAGATTTACTGTGCTGGTCGCTAACTGAAAAGGGCAGTCGCCATCAAATTGGTGTTTACATTAACACGATATAAACATTCGGGTGTGAAACACGTCATATCAGAAGATACAAGTGTCTCAGACACGCACGTTTAAAATGAATCAGTAATGTTGTCTCATCTTCTTTTTTTTGGCAAATTTGCAGGGCTATTTCAATCAACTTTAAGCCCGCTTAGTTACAACTTCTAAAGGCAAAAGTGTTTGCACCGTTTGTGAAATTCTCAGTTTTATCTATTTTATGAGACTCAAATGTCGATCCTTCCCATTGTTCATAGCCGCAAGCGAGGTAAGGCAGACTCAGAAATATTTTTAGGTGCTAGCTATGATCTTTATGTCTGTAGAAAGAAACGTTCGGAAACTGCTTAGCTTCAGCGCATAGATTTTCGCGCCTTGTTACAGCTTGACCTCAAGCCAAATTCTGACGAAAGCGGCTATTATCCTTTCCGTATTGGGTACAGTTTCACTATAACCGCATCAAAGGTGATCTCACGGACAAAAAAGGTGGATATACATGCTATCGAATCATCTCTCCGCCCGGCCTGCTTTCTTTTACTTTCTTTTTAGTCTCCGGATTTTTTGTTACCATGGTTACAGTCATACGACACACCAGTTGACTAGTCGCTACTACGTGTTCTCAACCAGAGTTCACTGGTTTTCAAAGTTCTTTTATTTGACCTTCATACAGCTGAAGATGATAACACTTCAGTTAGCCTACAACAGAAGAGCAAAGTTAATTTTTATAATTATTCGTTTTATTGAAGTCGCCAGTTGTGTCCTCAGGGTCTGAAAACCTTCCATTGTTTGCCAAACAATTCCGTCTTCTTTGCGAGCTCTATGTCCATGAGGATCTTGATGGCACTCGAAAACTATTAAAAGGCCACTAATAAGAAAAGAAGATTATTTCTTTCCTCACTATTCTGGTCACAAGTATATCTGATTTACTTGTGTAGCTCGAACAACCATACAGCTGAGTTTGCAACGTTCTTCGTTTGAACTAGTGCACAGTCCAGAACTTTTAGTTTGACTTCTTTTTACTCAGTGTGTATACATCACAAACTATCACCGCAGTTTTTAGGAGAAATTCCCTACTATGATATCAGGTTGCACAAGAAGATGTAAGAGCCCTCTTTTCAGTATCACGAAATCAGAAAAAACATCTAACTACTAAGCAATCGTTCGCGGCGACTGACAGTATGGTTCGAGAATTGCTACATCTCTAACGAAAACAACGTTCCTCAGTCACTTTTCGATCACATTACAAAAGTCCGAACGGCAAAGCCGAGCCGCCCCTGCCCTTGGCCAGGCGCTTGGCCCTAGTTCCTCGAGACCAGCTGACCACAGGAAAATCATTAGTAAAAGATGAGGGATTTAATTGTCTATAAGTGATCTTGAAGACACTCTGTCGCCCATGCTTTTTTAATAATTGTCACGAAGTGCTGCACATAACCTGTGTTACGTGTTCAAGATGAAAGATTAAGGTTCTTTCCGCGACTTATTGCCTTTACCAAGAAGTAAAGCATATGAACAGGTAAGCCCATGAGTTTGGACATGAATTCTGATGTACGGGACCGAAACAGGTGTCTTTGATGTCAATTTTCCCTGATCTTTTGTTTTACTGGCCTCACACTATAGCTCGCATGGATTTAGCCTTCGCACGTTCTGTAGTTTCTTTGTTCGCAGGATTAACTCTTTATTGTTGTTCCGGATTAAGAACGATTTTAATTGCCTTTGAAAGGGAACGACAAAGGGCGGTTTACGTGCTGCAAATCTTGGTTTTATCACTTCAACGTAACGGCAGTTCAAGATGGCTTATTGATGGTTTCAAACTGTGTTTGTAATGGCTATTCTATATGGGTTTCAAAATCACCTCGATTCAGTCCTGTAGGCAAACTACAAGATTTTACAGTTTGTCAGAAATTCCATGTGACTCTTGAAAATAAAAAAGATTCTGCCGCTTTAGTTTCCATTGTCATAGGTGTATGAGTGAGTATACATGTGTTTTTAATATTTTTACGGATTACTAGACTCGCTCAAATGGTATACTACTTCTAGTTACCCTTCATCCTTCAATTTTTTTGCAGTCTTTAGTTTCCTTTGTCCATTAAATGCGGATTACTAAAAGTCGAAGAAACTGTTGTTTAATTACTTTCAAGCTTAAATCGGAAAGAAAACTTTTATAAAAAAATCGCATTTCATGTCCTGTACTGAGCTGAGCGAAAATTCATGTTGTATTCAGAGCAATTTTAGTGAGATTCAATGGTTATCAGCCTGTTTAACACTGTCCGGTACTCAGGAAGAGTCAAAATTTCCAGCCTGAAACACTGACGTTTTCCTCGCATAACTTAGCATTTGTATTCATAGCGTCTTGTCTAAGCCGTCTGCCCAAGAGGCGTTATTCATTACACGAATATAAATAACAAATCCTGAACTATCTTGCAGTTCTTCAAATATTTTTGTTCACTCGCCAAACATTTACCGCAAGTTTATCGCGAAATGTTTCATTAAGCACGCGAGGGCCGACTTCTCACACCATGGGGCATGATTCATCGAATTAGCTTCTTTGGTGTCGATGCACTTCTTTTTGAAAGTTTTCTTCAGAGCCTTGACACCCCGACCAAGATTTGAAAATTAATGCTTGCTGATTTATAGCCAGAAGCGAAAGAAAGCTACGAAAAAGTCCTTCAATGCTCCAGGTAGCTTGATATTATGCGAAGCTTTAGATACTATTATTATTTACGGACAATTAAACTAAGCTGATAAACAATCTACTACAGGGAAATAAGTTTAAAGTTATATCCAAACAGCAAGGAAAGGCTTTTAAATTTATATGTTTCCATGCGGGAGGTCGCTTGACCACAAAGAACTGAGTACTTTTAGTATATATTTTCCTCTTTTATTTCGTTTCTTGTTTTACCTCCATAGAGGGTGTCTGATTATTAGATAGGTGGCTTCATTGTGTAGTAAACTTCTAGAAAGACCCTGGGCAATGCGGATAAAAAAAAAAAAAGAGACTGCGGTGTCGACCGTGTGGTGGATATGAAGAGATATTGATCAAAGTTCCGAGTGATTTTTTTCAGTTAAAATCATGATCTTTGATGGAGTTTTGCGAACAATGGAACTGTATATTCTGAAGCTACTCAAACGCAAGATAAACAAAAAACAATATTGATAGAATTCCATATTACTATTAGCTGTCGTGATGTGTATTTAAAATGAAATAAATTACAAAGTTAGGTGGCTGTTTTATGAGATTTCTGTTTGCATTTCTACATAACCGGAGTTGGACAGGTCTTCGACAACTTTTCATGCCCACAAAAGAAAAAAGAAAGCGTTCGGTTCATCAGAACTGGCCCTTATATTCAGTGATCCTACTACAACACACGTTTGTACTTTTCTAGTTATTCTTGGCTTTCCATTAAATGGAAACTCCGTCAGACCTAAATGCAAGAATGTTTTTAAACGTATTTCATTCTCATTCTCATAGTAGAGAATCCTCTTAGAAAACTAGTTAGTGCGATGCTATTAATTCAACTTTTAGAACCAAAGTAGAGGTTGCATGTTTACGTTAGTTGGAAAACCAGAACTTCAGCTTCTTTTATTGTTATACTAGCTAACAATGGTCTCTTTACACGGAAAGCACTCGACCGTTTAATCGTCGCGAGTATAATACGATAACGCCGCGGCACGTGGCAGAAACACTAGAAAACACAATAATTTTGGACGTAATCCCCTTTTATAAGTATTGTCTCTTGTCTTGCTTGATTGCTAACTCGCAGACCACATACCAGCCTATTTCGCAAGTTTCTTGTACCACGTGGTGGTCGATAAATTTTTAATGCCGGGACAGTTTGCGGCCAAACTAACATGGAGCCCAATTCATCTGGTCTCCATTACTTTACGTCCAATTTATTAGCAGTTAATCGCTATCCGGGAGCGGAATGCGATTTCATGACAGTTCCACCGAAAGGTAAATTTTCCATTGAGACGAGCATAAATCGAATAACGAATGGAAGACAATTAAGCCCAAGTCGTTATTGAATAATGTTATTACGCTGACAGAAATGGGTTATTAACCTATTGTTTCAAAATACCCTAAGCACGATTTAATTGGCAGTCCATGAATCGCTTGGGCAAATAAATGTAGTTTCTTAATTACTAAGAGTAGATGAAACAAGAATGTCAAAATATTGAACGCAGATCTGTCACCTGTCCGTAGAAATGTGAATTTGTTTTACATTACCTGGTCGCAACGCAGTGGGTTATATTATAACTAGGCAAACGTTGCCCCAAAACTAATATCGTAGGCGAGATTCATTCGAAGAACAAACGAGGGAATTCCGAAATCGCCTCGTGATCGCCAAGTTAATCCGCGACTTTCTTGATCAAAACTGCGTTTTCCATTTGTGCAGCAATTACTTATCGCAAGAAGAGGACTTTTCTCTGCGCCAACAATTTCTTTCATCTATCGCCCAAAAACGAGACAGAAACAGGAATCATTTTAATTAATCGCGGAGGGGAAACCGAGAAAGATCTCCTTGCTTTCGTAAATTTTTCGAAACGTAGGAACAATGGCGAAAGCTGGTCTCTTTTCTCGATCTCTTTATGTTCAACGAAAGGTCCCTGTTTGATTCGCTTTGTTCCCCTGTTCTAAGGCGATGTTGCCATCAACAGATACTCTCTAAGTCTACTAACCATGAATCGATTCCCCTCCATATACCCTAAAAAATTAATAAGAAACACTACAGTCTGGACAATTAGCAAAATCAAGAGCGGAAAAAGTGTTCCAACTGGCTCGCTTCTCGTTGTTTAACGACTTGTTTCAATATTTTCCTGTGCTGTCATAGCCCAGATATTAGGTCGCCTTGTCAAGGATTGTGAACGGATACGCAAGTATCAAAAAACACACACTTGTTTCGAATGTGACAATTACTGGGTATTCTAGTCCAATTAGCATCGAGGATGCCCACAATTCTTGTCCTTCTGGTCAATTGATTTAGTAATTATTCATACGTAAAACGTCAGCTTTGGAGAAAGTTGGATAAAATTTCCGAAAGCGGACTACCAGACGATGAATCTATTTTTGTATCGGGTGCGATGCATTCTTCTACAGTGGTAAACTCTTCGTATCGGCCTGGTCAGGCGAACACGGTAATTGTCAACAGGCTGTCCTCATTGCCTGAGCTTTTTGCATAGATCAATAAACCGGGCTAACTGGGATAATTAATTTTGAAAGGGACAAATGGAATGAGTGTTCCTCTCTTTGTAACTGGGTGAGATTAAACGTACAATATGCTTTGTTATAACTGCGCTGTATAATTTCTTTTTATTTTTATTTTTTCTCAGCCCGGGGACATGCTGGCTCGGGCGTAGCGATCAAAGGACTCTCATTATCTCGCAAACATTGTTTAGCGATAGAAGGAAAGGCTGCTAGATGGTATAAATAAGGATGCCAGCTCGGGAGGCAGTGAGGTCAGTCGAGGCGGTTTAGACACAACCTGAGCAGCTGCTGTTCATGTTGATGTGTAGAGCAGAAAGGAATTGGGTCGCACGTTCACAAGGCACCCACGCAAAATGTTTACAGTCGCATCATTCGGTTTGTTATTTCTGGCGCTGATTGCTTCGTATGTATACGGTGAATCAAACACAACCTTCGATGGGTCCACCTACGTCACTTACTCGTACAGCGGAGAGCCGCGAACGTTTCCAGACGACATCGTTGTTTTGTTTAAAACGATCAAACCTTCTGGAGTGCTCTTCCACGCGACCAGTAGCGGAGGCGACTTCATAACACTTGAGCTCCTGCGTGGAAAGATCAGGTACGTAAGCCTGTTAGGTTCAGTTGTTTCTTCTTATCTCAGTTTACATCTTCGCCTGTTCTCTCTGTGAAGTGGGATGTTGATTATTATTCTTTCTTATTTTAAAAGCAAGGGTAAAATTTGCCAACTGTCTTTGGAAACTGTTCAATGGGGGATCATGACTTACGTCTGTCACGGGCGCACAAGTGTTTTTATTGAACGGCGCCTGTTTTAAGAAAGAAGCAGACTAGCCGCATAAGCCTCTCCTTTATCTTTTTATAGGCAAGAGGCTCCATTTTATGCAGGTTATAATTATTGGTAATATTTGGTCGAATTTGTGCAAGCTCACGCTGAGAAATTGTAAAAAGAAAATGAAATTATTCTGATAAAAAAGGATAAAATATTTAGCTAAAAATTTTAATAACTCCGCCTTATCGGAGATCAGAAGACTATCAGTGAAAGAACTCGCGCACACATACGTGGTAAATCAATTTTTCCCCTTTATGCCTATTCAGTAGGGTTTGCACAGAAAAATCGCGATTGTTAGAGAACCCGGCATGATCATTCTCTGTTTGTTGGGAGCTCTGACCCTTTAAATTCAATTTATAAAAGTTCGGTTTCCAAAAAACTTTATTTAGAAGCCTGCGTACTCGGCTGATGAAGAGTTTTACGGTTTGCCGGAAGGAGATCCGATTTCATTACTTTTGATTATTTTGTCGTGGAATCGAATTTCATTTGATGTTTAAGCTTTCCGTTTACTTTATTTACGTCAGTTTGTAAGCTGTAAAATCAAAAACGTCTCACTAGTAAGTCTTGATAATTTGTTTTTTGTGGCTTTTCCGTAAGTGCTCCCCTCTGCGAGTTGCCCTCCGTATATCCAGAATTTCTTCAACCGTTACTTTCTTCGATGGAGTTCTTTTTCAAAACCTACATATTTGGCCCATATTTACGAAATCGCTACAGTCGCCGTTTCAACATTGTGACAAAAATTGTTTCACCATGAGGCTAATTACTGAAAAAGATGAATTGTATGCACTCGAAGAAATCTACCTTTCGTTGCACCTGCACCAAGTTCGGAGTGCGCAGGCGCAGTGCAGTTAGGACATCATGAAATATTTATATGGACCGTCCTGTGCGCTAAGCGTAAGTCAGAGAGCAATGGACGTTTACGATCAGAGATAAACATGTCATAAAAGTCTGCTTTAAAAAGAAATAGTGCTAATCGCTCTTCGCAATGCATAAATTATGACAGACTGTCTCGCAAGTACGTTAAATTTGAATAAATGAGATGTTATCGAGGATTTCATTCATTTCTATTATACAACAATTAAGTCTACTGATCTACAAACGTTTCGTAATGTTTAGATGTAAATTAAACTGAAACATGAAAGCAATTTTGTGTTAAGTTACCGGCCCGGCAAAATGACGTCTTTTTCTCGGTTTGTTTGACTGGATATATCGTAGTGTATTGTTTACAAGTGTGTTTTTCGTCTTTGGTTAAAAGTGTAGATCCATGAAATGAAAGTGCAAGTGTTAGGTTTCATTTATTGGCTCGCGATTCAGTATGCGGTTTACGAATAGTATTTATATTAATACTTTTCATCACTGGCGTACGTGACCCACTGCACAAGGTTTTAACTGCTGCAAAAGTTTACCGATAAATTTTCAAACAAGAACGAATAAAGGTAACTTTTCTCCAGCCTGTTCAAGTAATCCGGCTGTAGTTTAGGAAGCCACTAATACGCACTTTGTCGAAACTGATTTTGTCATAAGAATGTTTCCAATCGGCTTTATTATTCGGTTAATGATGTTTGATTTGATTGAAGCATACAAATGCATTATTCATGTTGAAAGAAATACGCAAATCTCAGTCATCTCGGCAATTAAACCTAGGTTCTCCTGGCTGACTTACTAGTCTAAAATATTCGGCTCCAGCGTACTCGAAGCGGAATGGCAAACCGAATGATCAAAAATAGAATATCTTGTCTTTTACATCAAATCACTGTCACAAAATTTTTTTTCAGTTTTGGTAACCCCTATTCCTTTTTTCTATCCATTTATACACTGCTTAGTCCGACAGTACATAACTGTGAATGCACGGTTGCTACATGTCTCAGTCATGCCAACGGATATAGCATTAAATTGTCTTCGAATTGTTAAAATAAAGCTATCGAAGACTTGACTCCTAACGTACCCGCAGTTTAAATTTTGTTATGATTTTCATTACGGAACTGAGGGAAAATTTATCCTTCTTTAACAATCTTTTCACGGTATTTACACCTCCCAAACGAACTGGTACCTGATTGGTACCATTTTCTTTGTGGTTGTATGATATCCGGTTTTCGATCTGTGATAAATCTCAGTACCCCGGTGTCGTAAATTATTATTAATGTTACGATATATAAATCTGTAAATCGGAAAATCGCACCAGTTGCTATAAATTAAAAGGTAATTTTCGTCAGCACGTGTTTCATTTTCAAAGATGCATGCCTCATTATCACTAATCAATTTCTAATGCAGAGGAGGGGACGTTTCCGAATCAAAAATTTTTTTTAATATGCATGCATTTCCAGAAAAGATTGAAGCGATACCGCTAACCGGGTATTTCTTTATTCATGAGTTTCTACAATTGATAAGAATGTTTGTTCTGGTGATTGTTTATGAATAAATTCGGGAAGCTGAAATGTAAATAATTACTGAGCATGGAAAAACGGATAACACTGACCCCTCCCCCCAAATAATCTGATAAGCAAATTAACTTAGCTGTAGATTTTGCTGTTAAACTTGGAGGTGCTTTAACTTCGAAAAGTAAAAGCGGAAAATAATGATTTACCATGAAAACATGATTGATCATCGCAGTTATGCATATAACTTAAGCAGTTGTGCAATTTAAGCCTGAAAAAGAAAAAAAAAATGCAGGCCTGAACGGGATTCGAACCCATGACCTCTACGATACCGGTGCTGTACTCTACCTACTGAGCTATCAAGCCAACTGGGAGCTGGTCTCTTTGTGAGTTTGTGATATACCCGTAGATGGTGAAGAATACAAGTGAATATAAAAAGATCATATATTTGAAGTGCGGAGAAGATATGAAGACGTGATTGATCATCGCAGTTAGGCACACAACTTAAGCAGTCGTGAAATTAAAGCCTGCAAAAAATTACTATGTTAGTGTACTGAAGCTATAAAAATGGAATCATGATGAATTACACAAGCACAAGGCTGCGATAAAAAGTTTCTTCTTTTACAAATTTTTTGCTCGTGTCTTGAAAGAATCGCTTGGTGCCGTAAGAGCTTTTCGTGTTCGGTCAAGGTGCTTCGTCAAAATTTTGGTCAAAATTGTTTCACTGCTCGGCCAAAAGTGGAGCCAAGTCATGTGATAGTATCCCTTATTATCGTGTCCAAATTCTCAATTAGCTAATCGGACGCCGTGTCTGCTGTCCTGATGTCGTGCGATATCAAGTCACTGACCTGATATGGTTTCGATATCATGGTAACTTGGCCAAACTTGGATACGGTAAATATCTAATCGTACCTTTGTTTGGTACGCTTCGGCGGCATGTCTGACTCGTTTGGTCTCGCCATGGTTCGTATTTTGGAGAGAAGTAGGGTAAAAATTTCTGATTATAAACCTCATACTAGTACTGTAGGGTTTGCAGTGCAACATACGTATAAGAACGTCTGAATTTTGTATACCAATATATATATATATCTCAATATGTCATGGATGTCTGCTGAGAAGTCAGTATCAAGTGTTTCTAATTTGAGTCAATAAGTGAATTATTGACCCTTACAAGCTCACCGAACATATATAAAACAAGTGTGAACTAATCATTTATTTATCATTATTGTTTAACTTAAGTTCAAAATAACATATTTGATTTTAATACTTCACTATATTGTTTCAATCGTTCTAAAAGAACACTTGTGTAAAGGCTAGTGGTTTCTTTTTTTCTTCTTGCATTAAGAATCTTTTCCAATTTTTAAGGCTGTAGCGACTCTTATATATATGGTGCTCATTTGGCAAAATTTCAGTTTAAAGGTTCTTAACCGCAGTTCTTATATGTGGGTATCACGGCAAACAACCGTTATGTGTCAAGAGGACTACTAATCTTAATACAGTTAGACAGATATTAGAACGGTTTTCATTAAAATGTCGAAACGTAATTGTTTTGCATTACTACGCCGCACAATTGGCCCAAAAATCTCTCGCCGCTTTCTCATTCAATCAGAAGTAAAACCAAAACGAATCGTGAGTCCCTCTCACCCGTTTTCCCGCGCTTTGCGTCAGCCACAAGTATTGGCTTCAAGTTTTGATTGGCTCACTGTATTGTTTGTGTCCTTTGTCATCGGCTAGAGTGATGACTTTGGTTTTGGTTTTACGAAACTCAATTGAAAACCGCTCTAATCTTTTAACATCTTTCATCCGTCTAGATTTTCGATGCTTGTGAGGGGTGTGGCCAATCTGTTTAGCAAAAGCTTCTTTGGAAAATCGGATCTGGCGGATAATGAGTGGCATCAAACTCAAATAAAAAGAGGAAGCAGTACCACACTAATCTTTTACATTGACATCTTGAAGTATCCGATTAACGTTCCCGGATTTTATTCCAAGCGTTACGCACATCAGATGTTTTATCTAGGCGGTGTTGACAATAGCTATGCGCAGTCAAGACATCCTCGTTTCAGGACAAATCCCTTTCTCAGATTTGAAGGTTGCCTTGACGACAACTTCGTAAAGGTTAACGGTCTAAAGCTTCTTTATTTGGCCAGAAGAGGAAATGCAACTGTACATGGGAAAAAGATTTCTAGCTGTAACGCTACCCCTGGAGGGTACAGTCCAATTACCTTTCCAAAACCTGAGTCCTTTATAAAAATTAATGCTGATAACAAGAACACTGCCAAGTACAGCTTCAAATTCCGCACATACAACTCTAACGGAATTTTGTTAATTCAAAGAATAACAAAAAGTAACGGCGCTGAAATTTTCATTTCACTGGATTCTGGCAAGATCAAAGTGGAAGTGAGTTTTGCGAGTAAATCAACTCCTGTGACACTGATCGGTGGGTCGGCCCTTGACGACGGAATGTGGCATCATGTTGCTGTTAATATCAGTATACAAAATGTCAGGCTTGAAGTGGACTCTGAATTGCTTTCCCAAAGCCAACGTTCCCTGGGCACGTTTCTCAGCAGTTCCGAGGTCTTTATTGGAGCAAGTGACAAAGGTAGGCCTGGTTTTATAGGATGTATTCGCGACCTTATCGTACAGGGACAAAAAATCAACTTTACAACTGTTACATACAAATCTCAGGTTAAGATATCCGAGTGCAGCCTTCACGACCTCTGTGTACCTAACCCGTGTCAAAACGGCGGCAGATGCTCACAGCGTTATAACCAAACCTCTTGCCACTGCTCGGAGACTGATTTCGAGGGTGAAAAATGCGAGAAGCCTTCGTTTTTCATGCAGACATGCGCTGATTGGTGGGCAGCTGGTAAAACAAGTAACGGATATTACAAGGTAAACCCGCGCAGTTCGGACACTTTTTTAGTTTACTGCAACATGACCAACGTAGATGGACCTTCCACCGTTATTTTTCACGCTCAAGACAGAAAACCCATCATTGCTGCTCAAAACAAGGTCGACGACAAATCTTATCGCCACGAAATTTCCTATGAGAACTCCAACGAGCAGAACATCAAAGATCTCATAGCAACAAGCACGCACTGTAGACAATATCTTGAATACAACTGCTACAACTCAGTCCTTTTTGATTCACCCAACTCATTCAATCTTGAGTCGGGTCGCGGAGCACGCTGGGTGTCACGTGACGGAAAGACACAGGATTACTGGTCAGGTGCCTCGCGTGGCAGTATGAAATGCGCATGCGGGATGAACGGAACATGCGTAGACAGTTCCAAGGTGTGTAATTGTGATACCGTTAACAATACCTGGCACGTGGATGGTGGATATTTGACGGACTCAAGAAGTCTGCCCGTGAAAACATTGCTATTTAGCGTTGATGGAACTAGCGTTAGATCTAATTATGTCCTCGGCAGTCTTGAATGTTATGGCTCAGACACTAAAAGAACCTCAACAACTAACTTTCCAGTGACCGAAACGTCACCAAAGTCTCCAAGCACTAAATCCACTATAACGACAAGTGGGAAACAAACCGGTAAAAAACAAGACGGGACATTAACTTCTACTCACCCTAGTGGAAATGGTAAGCCTACCACAAAGATTTCCAGTTCTTCAGAAACACGCACCCAAGCCACAGTCACACCAACGAACAACTCAGACCCGCCAGGCATTGTAGTCATCGAATCACCACGAAAATATATCACCATACGTGAAAACGCCAATCAAGAACTTGTGCTAATCATACTGAGTGTCATACTAGCCGTCTTCATCATTGCAATCGTCGTTCTTCTTATAAAACAGAACTTATTTTTTCCTTGCAAGTGCTTACAAGCGCCTTTGTATCACGATGTGCGCCATATGGACACCATTGAGTTGGGTCCACCGAGCCCAATGTACGGGGAGACTGAACCCGAGCCGATTCTTCAGTTCGAGGCTAGTCCTTACCCAGCTAGGAATTTCGATATTGGAATGCACGACTGTCATATTTCGTCATCGCCAGAGCTCTACAGTGATGCCGAGACCGACAGGCTTGATATTAGCATTGGTAGCTCTTCGTTGAACTCAGAAAATGCTGAAATGGATAAAGACGTCCCTGAGAAAACAATTGAATACGAAGACCTTGACCTTGGCCTCATCGATGTAGTCACCAGCTTTCCCGCGCCAAAACAGCTCAGCACAGAGCAGCAGATTAGGAAACTGAAAGAAGTTATCTTTGACGTCCTGTCCGCCTCCGGTGACGTCAGAGCTAATTATAACGACAAGAATGAAAGCCATGTAGGTGCTATCAATCAAGATAGAAATCCACGCAACACCACGCAAAGCGAATCAGCCGTAAAGGTTGACCAATCATCACAGCTAGCAGCAAATGGACAATTTGTAGATTCGGACAACGATTCTACCGCTACAATTTCAGAATTAGACTCAGATCACGAACCCTTCGACGTAGATCAGTGTACAAAAAATAACTGCTGCGCTGAAGAGGAGGATACGGAAACGGAGGCGTGCGATGAATCGTCTAAAGAAAGTACTCTCAAGACATGGGAAACTGCAGGAAACAAAGAAATCAACCGCGGCAACTGGCGCTCGTCTGATCCTCATGATAATTATCTTTCTTTAGATGTAAATCACCTGGAACATGATACTCTCCAAAGGCAGCCATTCAGTGGAGTGAATTTGAATGGCCACAGTTACAATGAACAAAATTCGTGTGACAAAGATTCAAGGTCTCCACGGAAGGAGAAACAACTTCCCGCTAACTGCGATGGAAGAAATCGTGAACTGAGGCCACTAAAGGAAGACAAACGCAAGCACAGCTCGCCGCGTGCACGCTTATTTTCCCGCCAAAAAAGCGAAGAGGAGGCGCTGCTGTCCTCGACGCAAGCCGGTGGACTGGAGAGAGCCAGTCGCTTTTCAGATAGCGATCAAAGTCATTATAGCGGCATTTCAAATGCATCCTGCCGGCAAGGACATCAGCAACAGTCTGCTTCAGCTAGCAAAAACCAGTCTGAAAATCAATTTAAAGATCGCAATAACGTCAGTGTTAAGGTCATTCCACTGAAGCAATCGCATTCGCAGAAATATGAAACTGAACTTTAGCTTTTATAACATTGCTACATTGCTGAAAATTCTATAGTCTATAAATGTATTGAATTTTTACAACAACTCAGTGGAATACATTGTATACTAGACCAGACTTTTTGCGATTAACATCAAAAGATTTTCAAAAAAGGATGTATATAAATCTATTAAACTGGTAAGATTATAATAAAATAAATTTTAATAAAGTAGTCTATATACAGAAGCTTGTTTATTTACAATCATAAACTAAAAGGTCATTGGTATTGTAAAATTTAGACGTAAAAGTACTCGAGAAATCGTTTGTTAAAAAAGTTTTATAAAGTAAAGTTTCGTTTAAAGTGAAATAAATACTTAAATGTGAATAACCCTTGCGTGGCATTCAAGATCCCTGACATGATCCCGACTTTTCGAATCTCTAAGGGAAAGTTCGAGTACGAGTCGGCTAGTTCGAGAAATCGAACGAGGGTAAAATTATAGTGTTCAGCTGAGGGGGAGAGAAACGAAGTTTGTTGGAGTTTTAGAAGAAACAAAACANTTAAACGCGAAGAAAAAGAAAAAGACTGGTATCTAATAATATATAACAAGACTAATAGTTAATAACAAACGGATGAGTCTGCGGGAGAGTTCAGCCACAGTTTTTAAGTTATTTTGGCCGCGTACAAAATTACCTTGAATCAGTAAAGGAAACCTGAAAATTGTACTATTTACTAAGATAGAGAAAGGATGGTTAAGGATGGAGAAGATACATTGACAAGGAGTATAAACGACACACTTGAAAAATGTAGGCTAGACTTTCCAAAATGCGCGAACTGTGACGTAGCACCTTTAACTCAGTCAGGAAAATCGAAATGATTGTCAACGACAACGACAGTTTCCGGGACTTGAAGCCGGTGATAAATTTTCTAGTTTTTGTCGTCAATCTATACAAGCAATTTATCTTGGGATAATTTTCGTCAAATTGGGATCGAGAAAAAAAAGAAGTACTTTTAGGCAAGAGAGGAAATAAAGATGTTTTCCATACCGTACTGCGCAGTCTCGGCATCCTAATGTTTATAAACATTATAAGGTCTCACTCGATGGACTGCGAATCGATGTTCGTTTCGAACCTTATCTTTCAGGCCTTTCAAATTTTTTTTCCAACGACTTCATTGATTTTTACAGTTGCGAAGTTGTTTCATCAAGTGATACGAGAAAGAACGAAGCATCGAGATTCGCATCCATAATAACGGCCGCGGCCGCACTATAAGAGTTAACCGGGTTATTTCTAATTAATCAATTACGGTTAAGCGGGGTTCCCGAGAAACCATGATGCGGCCGCTAATTTCGGCAGTTCACTGAACTTAAACTGGGTTAAAGGTTACCATGGAGATTAATTGAAGAACAATAGATTTTTAACCGACTTAGGTTAATTTTTAACTACCTTTCTGCCTGGTTTAACCCAGTGAAGTGTCAGTCATCACGGTCTCTGTGTGTGAGATGTTGTTCCTGAACATGGCGAGTGGTAACAACAGCTCGAAGGAGTTATATTACAAAAGCGGGTTTCAAGTTTTTTTTCCTAATATGCTTCGCCGGCTATACCATATAAGTCAAGTTTGCAAGGAGCGTTCGGACCTGAACCATGGCCTAACCGGGAAGCGCTCATTCACAATGTTAAGTGCAGTGCATTTTCCAAACGTAACAGCTGTGGAGCAATAGCTTTTCCCAGTTCCTAGACAACATAATCCGCACTTCTCTATCAATATACTATAGCGATGCTCGGAGGCGACTGTTTCTTTTTGTCATAAATGGAGAAAGAATACGCAAACCGCGTGAAAGGACTCGATATGTTCATTCGAAGGTGCTCTCTATAAAAGCTCGGGTATAAAAGTCATGCATGGTGGGATTCCTGGTGATTTCCCCAAACCATCGCCGATTTCTCGGATAGAGTCAAATTCGAGGACGATTCATTCGACGGCGGTGAAAAACACTCTGACGTCCATGCAAAATCAACATCATGTTCGAATGAACTGTCTTGGAAATTTGTGTATTTTAACCAGGTTTCTAAAAATTAAACCCAGTTAACTCTCTTAGTGCGGCCGCAGCCATTAGCCGGTTGACATGAAACTTTGAATTTACCTCATGTAAGTAGTTTACTTGTGATGTCTTACATGAAACATAACAAAAAACGTAAGCAAACTCTCGAGAGTGCGCAGTACGGACTGGAAATCTTCTTCAAGGAGACTGAACTGAGTGATCTTTTCCACGAAACAGTAGAAAACAAGATCAAGCCCAATCATGCAGCATTTATGTCACACCAAGTCAGGCGCCGTCCACACTATGTCGGAGGAATTTGAAAATGGAGGTCTCGCTCTAAAAATGCATCAATTCAGCGGTCATCTTGGATTTGTGTTTGAAGAAAACTCGGTCAGGGAAATCACATGATTACCGTGACGTCATCGCTTTTGAAAAGCTCCGTCCAATAACAAAAACCCGGCGTTTTCAAATTCTTCCATTTTGAGGAGCGTTTTCGAAAAGCTCCAATTTCTTGACGGATTAGTGTGGACGATAGGCCTAACCGTAGACTGCAAAACAGTCGTATTTTTTTGCGAATGCGGGCGACGGTCAATATTCGAACGAAAGGTCTGAAGCGAATGTAAAAACGGCGAGGGAGAATGGGCGTGTGAGCGGGTGTGTGAGGCTACGGGCGTGTGAGGCTCGCGCGCTTCACAAGCGAGGATCGCGCTTACGGCGCTTCGCGCCTTCCGAAAACGTCCAAAAACGACTGTTTTGCAGTCACGGTCTATTTCGTTCCCTTCGCGTGCTTTTTTGGAAACGCTGCTACGCAGGCTAGCATCGAAGAGGATTCGTAATGACATAAACCGTATTCCCTCGATTTAACACCTACACCGATTAAATAGGTGCTCCTTCTCGAACAAGTGGATCTGTAAACTTACCCCAGGTTCTCACCAAACATTTTTTGTATAGAGAGGAATGCTTAATCGAGATAATAAGGTTAATTAATGCAAAAAACGCTTGTAAACTTACCGTGAAGACGTTGATATAATGGATCAGTCATGAAACTGGTATGCATTGTGGAACTACAAAAGAATAAAACAAGTCAATAAAAAAACGCTGCTGCATAGTTCTTTATCACTGTTGATTAATAACGTAGTAAGCATCTTTTACGGAACAATAATATTGAAAAGAGACAAAAAAAATTGCCCCTGTACTCCAGTCTCGCATATTTTCTACGTGTCCCAGTTTGTTCCTGGTAGATGAAGCAAAAATCAGGAGAGCAAGATCACATGGAGGTAATTGGCATGCCTTCCAAAGGGCACCCTGCCTTCAAGCGTGTGACTTCTACAACCAGGGAGCCCCTCCACTCGAACTAACCTCACTTCTCGTTCGCTGCTATTTATATTGAAATGTGTAAAAAGCTTTCTCGCCGGAGGCAG